CAGTTCAATCACCCCCAAACTATGCTAAATTTGGTCTAAGAAAGTATAATGTAGTGATCTTTGGGTTTAGCATCTAAGTTCTTCTAATTCAACTTATAAGCATATGAATCAACTCATTCTTTCACAATGTTAAACTTAATTTACATGCAGAAAAAGTATGAAGTTTTACATGGAAAGAATTAATTAATCTAAATGAAAAGTGCATTTTATGCACTCATTTGTACTATATAACTAAGCTTTATGTCATGAAAATGTTGATTTTTACTTAACTTGGGTTTACTTTCGATTATTTCTGTAATAGACCTATTTCTAAGCAAGTGGAAAAGAAAGATGGTGAAATCCAATGTATGAGGGCTGATTTGCAACATTCCAATAGTTTATTCGAACGCAAAATGAAGTTTAAGATGTTACGGGTTCAATTGAATGCAATTAGAAATTGAAGGGCTAAATTTACAAGAGAACGAATTCAAAAGAATCAAGAATTAAATTCGGGGACTAAAATGCAAATTTTGAAAGTTGATATTGTAACCTCCCAAAAATTTTAGAATAAAATTTATTTATTTTATATTTTATATATTTACATTTTGAAAGTTGAGGACTAAAATGAAAAATATTTTAAATTTCTATTTTATTTGTTCTAAAATAATTAGATTTTGATAGAGCGATATTTAATATATCAATATTAGACTCATTTTATAGGTCGTAATTAATTAAAAGTCTTTGACTCGAGAAAAAGTTAATTTGGATAAAAACATATTAAATTAGACCCAACTGAAAGAAAATAGGATAATTAGAATTTTAAATAAATTATAAATTAATTCATGTTCTCATTCCAAAAACGTGTAAAGTGGGTATTGAATTTTAATTTTTAGTTTAATATTAATCTATTTTGAATTTGACGTGATAGTTAGTATCCTATTTGTATAACTATAAATTTGTTATTAAAAAAAATCCAAAACTAGGTTTTATCCAATAGGGTAAATGTTTTCTAGTATAACTCAGCCACTTTTTATTACTATAAATGCTATACATGGATTCCATAATTCATACACCAAAAGTTATACACGTGAGAGAGAGAGAGAGAGAGAGAGAGAGAGAGAGAGAGAGGGTATTTTTGGGAACTAGAAGACAAGAAACCATTTTGCAACTCTTAAATAAACGAGATAAGATACATATTTGCAAGTTGTTTTCGTTTCTATATGCTTTTATATACAATTAAATATGCATGAATTGTTAGTGAATCTTCGGGTTCTATAAAAAGAGAAATGAAATCCTACGAGATATAAGAGGACTTAAGATGAGTGTGTCCCTTGATCACCGGTATACTCTATAAGAGTAGAGCCGTATGATATGTAGATTTTATTGTTATATATCTATATATAAAAATTGCACTTATCTTACTGCGTATTTTTGAATACTCACTCTTACAAATTTTTACAGGTTAGTTCGGGTTGATTGAAATTGTGGAAGGGCAGTGATGCGGGCAGCCAAGTGGATCGTAGTAACAAAGAATAAATTTTCCATTAAATTTTTCTACCTTCATAATTATTTGTTAATTTTAAGATATGTTTATTGTTATTTTCTAGATACAATCACTACGTTTACTTTAAATTTATGAATGCCGCAGTTATTACATATAATAAGAATTTATTTTGATCTTTTCGCATGTAAAGTAAACAAAAAAATGAATTTTTGGTAACGCTCCAGTGTTATGAAAATTTGGAGCGTTACAGCTTGGTATTGGAGCACAGTTTGACTTTTCTGTAGACTTTTTTTTGAAAAAAAAATTGAAAAAAAGAGAGGAATAAGTAAATAAAAATAATTAATTAATTAAAGTCTTAGACGTTTATGAGATAAGAATCATTGGCACGCTACGCTCACTACTTGACCACCAATTGATCCCATGTATGAAATGTAATGATATATTTATAGCATGATTCGTATTATGAAATGTAAAAGCATGTTCACCTTGCATAATATATTTGTCATTTTTTTACTAGAATATCGTGTATACACTGAGAATTAAATAATATTGATAATGCAAGATTAAGCATAATTGAAATTATACCTATCACATGATTAGGATGACTAGGAATAGCCAAACATACGTCCAGCGTGCTAAAATGGCCATTGAGAACTACATAAATTATGAAGTAAAATGAGAGCAAATTTTTGTTGAACATGTTGAAGATTTCCTTTCTAAGTGGGGACGAGCAAGATCATTCGAATACAATGAAGGGACAGTCCTCTCGATATACCACATTATAAGCACTATGCGACCTCAATGGAGAGACGTGGCTTACTTCGTGAGGGATATGGATTATGGGTTATATTTGGAAGAAGATTAGGATAAGATTGATTTTAAATGATACCATGAGAATATCATAATTTTATGGAATCACAGACAACAAGCACCAGCGCCCGAACCCGAACCCGAACCAGAGCTAGAGGAGGACCTAGAGGAAGATATCGAACCAGTGCCGGAAGACCATGAGCAAGAAATCCAACCACAAGATTTCGTTGATTTGGTTGCAGATTTCAATCCAAAGTCATGCATTATTTCGGATGATGAGATGCCATGAAAAGAAGATTTTTTTTAGACTCACAGAGATTAGAAATAAGTGTTATTTATTTACTTAGGAAAAGTTTAGTTGTTTATTTATTTATTTGATTTTGAAGAGCAAGTTACTATATGTAAGGATTTAAAAATTTATATTTTTAAAGTTTTTCATTATTACAAAGTTTATTAATAATATTAGGTTGTTTTATCAAATATTCCTAAATTAAAATTTTATTTGTGTTAAGAAAATGTTAAGATAACAACAAAACTAAGCTACGATCATCAGGGATTTGCTAAGGGTGGTACAAGATTTGGGTAGGAAAAAAGCCTAGGCTGGTCCCCATGGTGCAAACGCTAACAACATCATCTCAATTGTGGAATAGTTCCGTCGCTACAAACCTCCAACCTTCGATGGCAAGGCAGACCCATTAGCAGCCAAAGAATGGATAGGAGGAATGGGGCAAATCTTCAAACATCTATCTTGCACTGATGCTCAAAAGGTGTTATGCACATAATTTATGTTGGTTGACACTGCAGGCCACTGGTGGGAGTCAGTATCTCGCACTAGAACAGAAGCACAACAGTGTGCTCTGATGTGGATACAATTTAAGGACAAAGAAATGGGAAAATACTTCCCCCAAGCTCTAAGAGATCAAAAGGAGAGAGAATTCCTTCAACTTAAACAGGGAAAAATGAAGCTTGAGGATTATGAGAGAAAATTCGAACAACTCTCGAGGTATGCACCACACCTAGTGGACACTGAAGCAAAGAAAGCAAGTTGGTTCGAACTAGGATTGCGCCCTAAGATTGGTGGAATACTGGCATCCCACCAATTCACCACCTATAGCCGAGTATTGAAAACTGCCCAAACGATCTCAAATAGGTTGGAAATTGACCAAACTCCCCAGCAAGGGGTCGAGTCTTTAGGAAAGAGGAAATTGAATGGGTCCAACGAAGGGAAAAGAGAAGGACCGAACAAGAAGGTTAATTTCGAATCAAGTTTTGGACAAGTCGTTCCACCCTGTCCAAAGTGCAACAAAATGCATAGGGTGAATGTTTGTTTGGGAAGCATGTGTACTATCGATGCGGTAAAACATGGTATATTTCCAAAAACTGCAAAGAAGACCCTTCGAAGAAAAATGACGAGCCAGAAAAGAAAGACTCGAGTGTTCGCTTTAGCCCAGGGACAGGCTACGGAAGACCTGAACGCAGGTAATTTTGAGGACGAAATTCTTTTAGGAGGGGA